CCCCAAAACCCCAAAACCCCCAAAACCCCCGAGGATGTATAGATTCATCAAGAGAGTCAATTTAAATTGAAAACATATCTAGAATGATCTTTGCTATTAAATAAGATTTTATCAAACTAATCAATATTATCTTGTCATATCTAAAAGGATTGAAATGGTAGATTACGAAAAACCCAAAGAAAGAGTAACATTATCCATTTTCTCTAATATTACCTTAGCCAGCAATCGGTGTCTTCTACGCCTTTGATCATCTTAAATTCCACGTTGGAAATGCAAAGCAAGCAGCCTCCTACTATACTTCTAGATTTGGTTTTGAGTATGTTGCTTACTAGGTATGTATAGTTATTTGAGTTAACATTTGATTAGGGACTTGAGACTGGAAACAGAGATTTCTGTACTCATGTAGTTCAAAATGGAAAGGTATGTTAATAACTTCTTAATGATATTTTTATTAGATTGTTTTCGCTTTTGTTTCACCATTGAACCCAGGAAATAAAGAGTTTTCTGCAGAACTCGAGAAGCATGGAGATGGAGTAAAAGACGTGGCCTTTTTAGTAGATGATGCCGCCGGAATTTATCTCAAAGCAGTCGAGAGAGGTGCCACTGGAGTAAAAGCTCCTGAGACACTATCTGATGAGCATGGCTCCGTTATAGTTTCTAGTGTTCAGACATATGGAGATACAATTCACACTTTCGTCCAAAGGATTGACTACACTGGTCCATTTTTGCCAGGTTTCAAGCCTCATCCTTACAAAGAGGTGTTTAATAAACTTGCTCCAATCCCAGAGCTAGATTTTGTTGATCACATTGTAGGAAACTAACCTGATTAGGAAATGGAGCCAGTTGCTCAATGGTATGAGAAGATGCTCGATTTCCATAGATTTTGGTCAGTCGATGACTCAATGATCCACACTGAGTATTCATCATTGAGATCAATTGTTATGGCTGATTTCGATGAAGTTGTAAAGATGCCCATCAATGAGCCTGCAGCAGGCAAAAGAAAGTCACAAATCCAAGAGTATGTTGACTACTATGCAGGTGCTGGAGTTCAACACATCGCAATGAGAACAAATGACATCATTACTACAGTCTAAAGAATGCAAGACAGAGGTGTAGATTTCTTGAAAGTTCCAGATACTTATTATGAAAACTTGAGAAAGGGTATTGAGAATGCAGGCATATAAGTGACGGAAGATATAGATACACTTCAAAAACTTAAAATATTAGTCGATTATGACGACAAAGGTTATCTCTTGTAAATATTTACAAAACCAGTTGAAGATAGACCCACTCTTTTCTTCGAGGTTATTCAAAGGCACAATCATCAAGGTTTCGGAGCAGGAAACTTCAAGAGTCTCTTTGAGGCTATAGAGACTGAACAAGCTCTCAGAGGAAACCTTTGATTAATGCTCTTAAAGTATATCCGCAATCAACTTGATATTAAACACGATATTAAATCTTAAATTTTAAAGTCTTATTAACTTTTTTGTGTCAAATGAAGATAGAAGGGGTTTTGGGGTTTTGGGGTTTTGGGGGATCGGA